ATCAAACCAAGAGCCTTAGCAGACGGGTGCCACGTTAGCTGTGAAGCTAATTATTTGCAGGTGAATTTTTACCAGATAAAAGTTGTAAATTATGTAAGATATTTGATGTTTCAAAAAAAAATCAGTGCTAAAAAAATTCACTGGTCACATATTGGCACAGTGATTAAAGAAAGTGCAAACAGGGAGGAAAAAGGTGCATTAAGAATAAACAAGCAAGCACTGTATATACAGTATATCAAGATAAATAAGAATTAAGGTGCAAGTGTAGATGTATCACACACAATGAAGAACAAAATAAAAATGAGAGAGAAAAATAAAATACGGTGTACAAGAAAGTCAGATTCTGATGAGACAGTTTTTCTTTTATACTCCCCAAGGGGAAGGATTAAATGCACAGAGTGGATTTTATTGCTTTATATTTGTGACAATTTAATGTACGGAAGATGATTAGGGCCACTGGGGAAAAAAAAGTTAACTATTTTTAAAATTTTACTTCAGTTTAATATGGGGGAAAAATAAACTGGAACCAGACTAGAAAACTGATTAGTGAATCCGTTTAGACTATTTTCTTTTTTTAAGGATTAGATGCATGAGTTTGTTTTATTGGTTGACTTCCGATGTTTGTGCCTGATTGTCTTGACTAATGGACTCTCCGTGTGGGGCTCATGTCTTTTGTCTGTTTCTCAATGAAGCGCAGTAACAGAAACCAGCAAACAGAGCAGGGGATCTTTGTTTGATTGGCTTTAATGTTGCATTAGAGTGTGCATTAATTTCGCGAGAGGTTTTTGTGAGGCGTTTGTGCTGGGAGCTGGAGTTTTATTTCACTCTATCTGTTCTTATATTGATGGTACAACCTTGTAATGAAGCAATTATTCCGTTTGAATTTACTCTCAGCAACAGTTTGAATACTCATCTATCAGGACTTTTAGTGATTCTTCTGCAATGTTTATTGTTCAGAGTAGAATTATTCAACCAACAACTTTAATCTTTCTGATCTTTAGTTGGACAAAAGTCTCATCAATATATCGACACTCTATAAGTGTTTATTTCTATTTTCTATTGTCAGAATTCTGACTTTAATCTCATAATTGTGAATCTAAATGTAGTTTGCCACCATGAAGGCAGAGATGTGGAGCTTCCTCCCTGCTCTTGTCCCGCCCCAGAATTGTTTTTATGTTGCTGTATTTTTATTTTTGTATATTAATTTTCTGTAAAGTGACCTTGAGTGTCTGGAAATGCACTGTTAAATAAAATGTTTTATTATTATTATTATAGCTGATTTTATAGAATCTACGGTTGTCTGTTTTTGGTAAATATAATAGTTTGAAGCTTCCTGCTGAAAGTGAAGCCATTTTTAAAATATTTCTTATTCTGAGGTGAAGGAAGCGCTGCTGTTTGCCACCAGAGTTCTTATATTTCCTGATGACCTTTAGAAAAACTGTAACGTTATTTTTGCTCTGATGAGTCGATTATCGACCCGCTGATCCAGACTCTGCTGAAACCATTTCCTGTTGGAGTTCATACCTGGAAATAATGTGCGAAGGAAAAGCTCCTTTAGGACATTTTTCCCTTTTTCACACTCCTTCTAGGCTGGAGCACTAAACTAGATATATAATTATAGATGTCATTCCACACAATGATTGCATGTGTTAGATTTATTATTTACTGGACTGAAATAAAGTCATTCATTCAACAATCATGAGAGGAACTTGATCAAATTCTGATGGTTTTCCAATAAAGGTGTAAATCCCTCCCTCGCCACCAGAGGGCGCCAAGAGGCTACAGCTAAACTGGAAAATATTTTTTCACCAAAGTTAATATTGTTTAACATGTGGCTGTTGGGATGTTTTCCCCACAAAAGACAAAGTCCAAAATAAAAATGTATTATATATTCAAACAAATGTTTAAATGCATAAAAATAAACCAAATCAGTAATTTTTTTTTAAGAATTCAGACCTTCCAGCCTCAACTACTTTTCTGTAAATATGTTTAATATGACTTTAAAGATATTAATATGCATTTTCAGCTATTCTGTCATTTTATCTTGCGGTCTTGTAAGGAAAATATTTCTGTATCATAATCTTTAGGGGGGGGGGGGGTACTTTGGTTTAATTTATAAATATGTTGTTGGTTGAACAAACATCCAGTGAAACCTTAGTAGAGAACTTTCCATGATAAAAATTGGACCCAAATTGGTGATATTTTTGCTTTAACTGATGTAATTTATTGATTTATCCCTATTTGGGGTTTTCTTACTAATTTGTTTTCACTGAATTTCTACACAACTGAGTAAAAAAGTTAAAATGATTCAGCATGTAATTTTACATTTATCATTAATTTACTTAATATAAACCTAAAGTTACAGAGGAGGATCTTCTTTTTTCAGGTGGATCATCTAAATAAGTGGTTCTCCTAACTGTCAATCATTCAGGTCATCAAATCTTTTGGAAAGTAAGCCTGTATGAACGATGCAAACAGCAACTATTAAACAGAGCGTGCACCAGGAGAAATGCGTTTAATAGCCATCCCCTCTCGGTAGCGAATACACGGTTTTGCATGTGCATTTTTTTTTATAAGGTGGAGAGGGCGGATCTTTTCTGAAGGGCAGATGTGACTTCTTCAACCGCACACATCAAATGTGGCTTGGGTCTGGCTGTGAACCAGTTTAGCTGCTATGCTTCCCCACCATCGGTCTGGAATTTCTAGGGAGCGCAATGAGGAGAAGCGCAATGAGGAGGCTATACGAGAACCCATGAGAACTTCAGTGGATGGTCACAAGAACTTCTTCGGCGGCGCTGGCGGGAGTGTTTACCTTCCAAGACAATAATGGCACGTCTGCAAGATATCATGGTCATGGAGATCTAGAGTTGCTAGACATCGAAGAGGAGCAGGCTCTGTTAATGAAGTTAGCTAAAAGACTGATTATTTTTCGTTGTCCATTGTAGGTGTTCCTCGGTTTTTAAAAATGGCGCGCCCCGGGACTGAATCGAGAAGGACGACCATGCAGACAGCCGGAAAGGCACCAAGGACCAATCACAGCAGCTTTTTGTCTGCGCACCTCCGCTTGAGGTCTGTGCAGGTTTGCGACCATCCGACGCGTAGTCAGGACGTTTAGTACGATACTTTGAGCCAATTGTGTGACGTGCCAGCTAGTACCCGCCTTCCAAAATGCGCTTTCAGCCAATCGTAGCAGCGAATCAGGGCGTTTCGTACTCTGATAAATCAAACATTTTTCCGAATCCTGCCAGAAGAAAAGCACAGACATCTTTTCCATCAACGAATGCAAAAAACGCTTCTTTTCTCCTTTTTTAAACGATAAATTGTCGCTATTTTAGCTAAAACCGTATCAGTTGTGGTGTCGATACACTGCTGGCATGTCATTGGTCCGACCCGCTGGTTGTTACGAGACGGACATATTAAAGAGAGTCTTTCAAGATGGGTTTGATGTGAGACTGAAAACTTAGATCTCGTGACAATCCAGGTTGCACTGCAAGGTTAGGTGAAATTCCTGAAAATCCTCCCCTACACCTTTAATTTGTAAGTTTTTCCTGTTTGCGCTAGATGCCTGTATTTCCTTCGCCTTTAGTCGGCGTTTCCTCTCGGGTGGGTCTTTACAGAAATTCCCAAAATCCTCCACTATACCTTTAAGTCTACTTCTGCAGATATTGCTGGTTAATTAACAATAAATTTAGCTTATTTTGTTGTTGTTCTTATATCTGTGGAAACAGTAATAAATGAATTGATTCTAACAGTTTATATCATCATGTTTTATGTGTTTTAATTTAAAAACAGAAAACCAAATATTCCCTCTCCACGTTGCTGCTGTGTTTTGCAGATTTTACAGCAGTGAGATCTTCTCTGCTTTGATTTGTGTTCATTAAATTAAATTAAACAGCCCCTCTGTTCACCACTCAGCCCCCTTTAGCGCCGCCCCTGCTCTCCTCTTTAATGCTTTCTGGGTTTAAAGCTTTTTAAAAGCCTAAACTACAGCAACTAAATATGATAAATGAATCCTAACGTCGTTAAAAGCTTAAAAAAGTAACATTTTCGTGTTTAAATGCGGTGAATTTTTTCCTAAGTGAGAATAAAGGAAGAATGATGGAGGAGATGAAGCGGAAATGATTTAAACTGTGACTCATCCTGTCAGTGAACGCACCATAGCAGCCCCCCCTCCTCCGTCTGAAGGAGTTCGGTTCTGCACCGTCTCTGGCCGCCTCCTCTCAGCTCCCTGCCCGCTGCTCCTCAGCCTCGCCCTGCAGTCGGTTCGGATGGAGGAAGAGGAGGAATGATGAAGGAGGAAGAAGGAGGCGGATGCTCGGTGTAAACACCGCCATGCCCTGCAGCTCCGCCAGCCCGGGACAGCTGCTGGTTTAGGGGGAGGGGGGCTCGGCTGGTTCCGGGACCTGCAGCGCACTAAGGTGTTCAGACAGCCGGACAGAGTGGAGCTGCTGCCGGGCGGCCATGCTGCGGTGATCCGCTTCCTGAGGTCCTTCAGTCTGAAACAGAAACTGCATCAACTTCTGCTGCTGGTTGCTGCTCTGCTGGACTCTGACTCTGCTGAAGGTCCTCCACCAGATCCTCCACCAGGTCCTCCACCAGATCCTCCACCAGGACCTCCATCAGGTTCTCCACCAGATCCTCCACCTGGTCCCCCATCAGGTTCTCCACAAGATCCTCCACCAGGTCCTCCACCAGATCCTCCACCAGGTCCTCCACCAGATCCTCCACCAGGTCCTTTATCAGATCCTTTATCAGATCCTCCACCTGGTCCCCCACCGGATCCTCCACCAGGTCCTCCACCAGATCCTCCACCAGGTCCTTTATCAGATCCTTTATCAGATCCTTTATCAGATCCTTTATCAGATCCTCCACCTGGTCCCCCACCGGATCCTCCACCAGGTTCTCCATCAGACCATGGGGTCTCCTTCATGAGCAGATCTTCTCAGACTTTAACCAAAGCTGCCTGTGCAGGGAGCAGTGCTCCCCTCTAAGGCGGCACCATGGGGGCCAAGCAGACCAAAGGCCAGGAGCCCGCGGGGGCCAGTCCCCAACACAGCTGGAAACGGACCCCCACCAAGGAGAGAGGGGGGGACATCTTGGCCTCCCTGATGCTAAAGTCTGGAGACCGGCTGAACCGCGGCGGGACGCCACCTCCTCCGTACCAGCGCCGCATCGGGATGATCCAGGAGATGATGATGATGGCCAAGCAGGGGAAGCAGGACGAAGCCACAGAGATGCTGAAGACGCTCAGACAGGT